CACATTTTCTTTTTTTTTTGTAATTAAGTGATCTGGTTGGACTCCTGTTTGCAAAAAGGGTTAATCCCTTTGCGCCTGGTTTGGATAGTGGGCCAGATTTCGCAAATTTTCTTGTAGTAGAGTCATAGAATGAGAATAAACTCGTGTTTGTTCTCTTTGTAGTCCCGCAGCCCTGGCGCTGGTGAATGTAACAGCGAGCAGTGTTAGTGGGATCCTCGGGCAATTGGGAAGGTTCAAACGGTCATGCTTCACCCTGTGATCAGGATGTGCTGTGCCCTGTGACTGGTCACGGGCAGAGGGAGAAAATGGGGAGCGGTCAGTCTGAGCACTGTGTCATGTGATGGGGCAGTCCAGCCTGGTGTTTGAGCTCACTCCCTGCTGGGTAGGAGGGGGCGGGAGTCCAAAAGCAACAGATAGGGGATGAGGCTGGAGGGCGTGGTGCTGCCATGCTGCAAACAGCAGGTTGTGCAGCATGTTCATGACATGGTCGCTCGTGCTCTGTGCCTCTGGGGCTTGACCTCTCCACTGTGGGGGTCCTGCTGGGCTCTGTTAAGCTTTTGGGGCCTGATCTCTTTGATGGGTAGGGTGGGAAGGAGCAACAGTCTGTCGTGCTTGCTCACCGGCCAGCACAGCTTCCTGCAGCATAAGGAGTCTCTCTTGGAGAGCACCATCCAAACAGTCCATCTGATGAGATTGTTTAGGCTCTCAGGCTCAGCCTCATCCTGTACCTGTGCACTGGATACAGGAATGCTGTTACATACTTGTGGGAAATGAGGAAACAGTGGAGGAATCGCAGTCAATTTATATCAGTCATAGCCTGTTGAAGGACTGAACGACTGAAACAGGTGTTGGGCTGGGAATTGTCCATTATTCATGATGCAGGTGTCTCTCTTACCCACTTCTCACGTGTCACCGTTGGGTTTTCTGTCCTTTGTACAGAGCTGATTGCTGCTTGGGCTTTTTAGCAGTGTCTGAGAGACCAGACTTCTCTTCTTGGGGCTCAAGCCAAGGACTCAGCAAATTTCTCCTGGCTTTGGGGTCTTTGAAAGCAGCATGCATGTGCTGGAAGACGTGTTGGGGGAGCATGCGAGGGAGCACTTCAGCCGTGTCAGTTGGTGAATGTGTTTCCATGGCAAAGCCCAGGCAGAGGGGAGCAGCATAATCTCTTCTCAGCCTGCAGTTTGCCAGCTCTGCTTTACCCTCCCCCACCTTATGCAGCCATTGTGCAAATAGTTTGTGGCTTTCCTTAAAACCAGAAGTCAATTGTGCTGCTATATGTTCTTTGCAGTGTAGCAAAGTTAAGTGGAATGGCAGTTGGGGGAGAGGATGGTGCTCTTCAAACAGCCAGACCGCAGAGGTAGGGCTTGGGGCACAGGTTGCAGCTTTCTGCACCCGTTCTAATCTTCGCTGTGTGAGTAACACATGGCTATAATCAAATGTACGTTGGCCTCTCCCTTCCAGGAGCGCAAAATCTGCAGCAGGAGCTGAAGAGAGCGTTGTGTGCATAGATGTTTAATAGCTGACACTCTAGACAAGGGAGGAGAAGAGTGAAGCCATGGTTATGGACAGGGAAACCAAGGCACGTCCTGGTGCAGGGGACCTGCCCAAGGTTGTGCAGCACAAGTAAGTGGCAGAGTTGGAAATGGAGCCAGGGGTTTGTCTCCCAGTCTGTGCCTGGACCCCAGCCTGCTCAGGTTGGTGCAGTGGAGTCCAGGAGCTAGTGAGATGGAGGGGAGACTCCCACTAGGAGGCCCAATTAGTGGGACTTGTGCTTCTTCATCTCCTAGGTTTGCCTAATTCGGAGCTGCTGCTTTGTCTGTTTCTACAGGATTATTTTGGCGTCTGCTCAGAGGTGGTGATCAAAGACAATGTGGTGGTGGTTTATGAGGTGCTGGAGGAGATGTTGGACAATGGATTCCCTCTGGCTACCGAGTCCAACATCCTGAAGGAGTTGATAAAGCCCCCCACCATTCTGCGGACAGTTGTCAACACCATCACAGGTATGCGGCAGCGGGGAGCGGGCAAGGTGGAGAGGTCGTATGATGATGTGTCTGCTAAAGTGAGCCTGGGTGTTGGGCAGTAGGAGAGGTTGGTATCCAGGTCATAACTGATTAATGTCTAACATGGCAGAGCCTGTCTGGGGGTCCCTGTTTGCCCCTTAGTACTGGGGCAGCCTAGGGTCCAGAACTACATCTCCTTTTATACTAAAAGGTACCTGCACATGTTGCTCTTGCTGACAGTGTAGCTTACTGAGAACCAGGACATGGCTGTCTGGCCATGGCTGGCTTTCAGTGTTGACTGTCCCTCCCGCTTTCATGTGAGGGGTAGATGATGGGCTGCAAAAGAGAAGGCATGGAGGGACTCCACACGAGGATGTGGCTGGAGCGACTGCTTTTGCATGAGGGGCCATAAGTCTTCAGGAACAGACTGATGTTCTGCTAGAATGAGGTTGCAATGGTTTTTCCTTGTTCTGACCTCCTCTGTCTTTCTAGGAAGCACCAATGTGGGCGATCAGCTCCCTACAGGCCAGCTGTCAGTGGTGCCATGGCGCCGGACTGGGGTGAAGTATACCAACAACGAGGCGTATTTTGATGTGATTGAGGAGATAGATGCCATCATCGACAAGTCGGGTACAGTGCTGCTTGCGTTGAAGGCTGAGGCTGTCTATAGGAGTAGTCAGTTGGAGATGCTCTATCTTTCCCTTAGAGGAGTGTTGGAGGTTGTTTTCCCATCCTCATTTTGAGCTGTTGCTTAAATCTTACATTTTTGCAAAACACCAGGACGCCATCCTCTTTTTCTGCTTCACAAGTGCTTACACATCAACTCTAAATCTGGAAATAGTAGTTGAGTGCAAACCTTGTTTGTTCAGGTTATTCCTTTGTCACTACATTTTCTCGAAGTCTGGGTTACAGCTGAGGACTGGGGCCTTCAGCTGTCTGTATGGGTAGGAATCCTTGCCAGTGGTTTTCAAGTCTCTGGTAGTTCTCTAGGTGATGTTCAAGGTCTGTATGCAAGTGCGCCAAGGAGACTGCAGGCTCCAGCATTGCATGGAGGGGTTGGTTCTTACTCTGTTCATGTCACTTCCTAGCCTTTCCTGTCTGTCCCTGGTGACTGTCAATCAGCTCTGAAGTTATTTACCATGATCTGCTTTGTTTGCTGCCCTTTTTAGGTTCCACAATTACTGCCGAAATCCAAGGGGTGATTGATGCTTGTGTCAAGCTGACAGGGATGCCGGACCTCACTCTCTCCTTCATGGTAAAGCTTAAGGAAGGGGCATTATGATTTCTTAATAGTGTTTAAAGGGAGTACAGGCTTATTTAAACAGCCTCTGCTAGGCATCAGGAGATATCTTTGGCTGATGGGGTTCTGGGATTGCTGTGATGGATTCCATCAGGGCAGGCTTCAGCTGCTGGCTGGTGAAAGGAGGAAGGAACTAATGGTGAAAGCTCTTTGTTAAATAATTGTGCAGTTAAGTGTGAGGGTTACATTTCCAAATAGGTTGCTAGAAGTAGCCTATAGTTTTATGGTGTCATCGTGTACCATGAGACAAGTGTCTTATGGTGACCACCTGTTCATCAGAGCAGCTGTATGACCTAACCCGATGCATGGCATTGTTGGGCTATGATCTGATATAACAACTATCAGACAAGTGAAAATATTTTATGGTTAAAGGCAACCGAGTGTGGGCAGCTCCAGAATGGAGGAATGTACAGTGTGCCTTGCAGCAGGTGCTTTGTGTGGCACAGAAGGGAATGCAGTGAGGGGACAAGGACAGGTTCTTCGTCACAAGCCATAGTAGTGCCTTAGGCTCTTGTCTCTCGTTCCAGAACCCCCGATTGCTGGATGATGTCAGCTTCCATCCTTGTGTGCGTTTCAAACGCTGGGAGTCGGAACGGATTCTTTCTTTCATCCCACCTGATGGGAATTTCCGTCTGCTCTCCTACCATGTCAGTGCTCAGAAGTGAGTGAGGAATTCAGGGCTGAGGACTGTTTCCTTCCCTTGTGCCTGGAGATGAAAGAAACAACAAGAGGGTGGGGGTTGCTGCTTGCCATGCTTGAGCGAGGACCAAAGGAACAGTAGCTTTTGCTAATATCTAAGTATACTCTTTGCTTGCTGGGACAGCGATCCTGTCATTTCACTCCTGCAAGCCAGCTCTGTTCACAGCTTAATGGCAGGAACACAGCGTACAGCAGTAACAAATTGGGAAATGGCAGGTCAGCAACAGCTTCAGTTTCTCATCCCCCAAGACAACTAGCTTAAGGGAAAGCAAGAGCTGAGTGACCCAGTGATATAATAGGGCAAGTAACCTTTGTGTGCTTTCCCTCATTGTTTGGGCTTCTCCACGAACAGCTGGTTTGCCATCAGCAGCCTTAGCCCTAGGCACTAAAGCTGTGTCATGGACCTTGTCAAGTGAGGAACTGTCAAGCGAAGAGCTCTTTGCTGTCTGCAGCTAGACGGAAGGAAGCAGAAACATGATGTCAAATTACAAGCAGTTCAAGGCAGTGCTGCTGCTACCTGGCTTAGGTCAGCTTGCCCATGTGGTCAGACTGAAGGATGCTGTATTTCTTTCCCTTGAAAGCTTCCCAGTCTGTTACAAACCATAATTCATTCTTGACTGGCCTCCAGTGAAGGAGAGTGGGATGCTGAGAGGCCAGGCTGTGGGCTGGTGAAACAAAGCTGGAAACAGCTTCTAGTTGGGCCTTGCACTTCTTTTCTTTATTGCACAGCATGAATGTCCTTCAGGACCTGCAAGGGTCCAGGAGGGTGAAGTGCAGATGAAGGGGTGGCTTGCAACTGCAGTGATGTGTCCTTTGTTTCAGCTTGGTGGCCATTCCTGTTTATGTTAAACACAACATCAGTTTCCGTGACAGTAGTTCGCTGGGACGCTTCGAGATCACTGTAGGACCCAAGCAGACAATGGGGAAGACTGTAGAAGGGGTGATGGTCACTAGCCAGATGCCAAAAGGTGTCTTAAACATGAGCCTCACTCCCTCTCAGGGAACGCACACTTTTGACCCCGTGACAAAGGTGAGAGGAAAGAGGAATGTGGAATTTTAACTTAGGCTGGATCTGAAGTTGCATGGCGCAGCCTGCTGCTTTGCTGCATAAAATGCTCCCTCTGAGCTTTGGCCTGAAATCTGGGGATAGCACCTGATCAGTGGGGAGTGGGGATTCTGTGCTTGTTTTTCTGCCCTGAGCATCACTCTCAACAGAGCCTTCCCCGGCTGGACAGAGTCGTCTTCCTCCCCAGCCAGTATTTACTTAGCACTGCTCATTTGAGTTTCTGCAATCTAATGCCTGACTTTTGATTGCTCTTGGGTGATGGTGAGAGCAGAAATAGTGAGGAGGGTAATGCTGCCTGTTTGATGCCAAGCTGTGCAGTCCAGTGGTGCAAGGGTGTTGACTCCTGTTTACAGGGCTGAGCGTTTTGGATTGATTGGCTCGTGATCTTGAGTGTGCTTCAAACTAGACCTGCCTCAAAGCAGGGAGAAGCCTTGTTTCCCATGGTAGATGATCAGCCCCTGAACT